GGGGAGAAGGGTGCAACAATGAATGAATGGAATCCCAAAATCTCTGTAGGTGTTCATTGAAATGAAAAATAAACAACCTAAATTTAAAAAAAAGAATCTTCCTTCCTACTGCTGGCTTGAAGCATTTGGGGAGGAGCCTCCCCATCAAGTCTTAATGTGTTCACATTTAACAAGAACTCTCACCTGAGCTAGGTTCCGCCTTCAACTGAATAGGTAGTGCATGATCTCAGAGCCTGTGAACCAGGATACTGTGGATTGATTTAACATTCTCTCCATTTGCTTGTTTTTAAGTCAAGATCCATTTACCAACCTTATTTCAACACTAGCTTAACTTACAGGGACACCATCAAGTCTTGCCCCAAGATAGATGAAGAGTGAGGAAGCTGCTGCTTCAGTAGGATTGGCACAGGCTACCCAAAGCCCTAGAAGGAAGTGACCAAGTACCTTATCCAAAAGGATACAGCAGCCCAAAGTCTTATCAAAAGGCAGCAGCTTCCCTTACCCCTATTTCTGGCTGAGTCAATGGCTAGCAGTACAGTCAGCTTTGAGGGACAAGGGAGAAAGAATTGTAGAACTATGGTCTACAGTTGAGGTGCGCTACCCCAAACAGGAAGCAGTGGTGACTTAATGTTAGAGTGGTGGTGGTGATGGAAAGAAGATTCCAGAGACTGGGAGAGACAGAACCAGCAGGACATGTGATGAACCGTTTTCTAGGAAAAGAGGCATTGTTGCAGTCATCGATAAGCCTCACCCCCTTTCCGACAGTTCTTGTGGGTGTGTGCAGAGGCTCTGTAGCCCTATGCTCTGCCCACTCATCAGGTTACTTTGGTCTTCAGTTTGATAAGATTTCCTGTGGTGGCAACTGAAGGGAAAAGGAAGGAGCTAGTCCATTCCTGCCTAGTAGGTTGTGGGAGAAGGAATATGGCCAGAACCTTGTGTCCACTGCGTGTCCTCTGGCTCCTGGGGTGGACACTGCTGTGCTTAGGACCCTTCGGTATCCTCCCAACCTGGGCATTGAACCTGGACTCAGTGCACATCACCACCTACACAGGCCCCAATGGCAGCCATTTTGGGTTTTCATTGGATTTCTACAAGGACAGCCGTGGAAGGTGAGCCGTACGGGAAGTTGGGGGTTGGAAGAAGAAACTTGGACCCTGTCACTGCTGCTGTGGGCCTTGAGTTTCTCATTTGTGATGGAGGTTGACAAGGATGATTTTTGAGGTCTGTTGAGGCTGAACTCTGGTTAGTAATATAGCTCAGGCTGGAGTGCCAACCAGGCTACACCAGGTTATAGCCCTAAGCTTCGTTCTTAACTCAGAATGTTATCTCCTCTGAGTTAGTTCCACTGCCCATAAAGTGAAGATGACGGTCTGAAATCGGGCGAGGAAAACTGGGCCAGGCGTCCTCTAGGCAGTGCTTGCATCGAGGGCCCACTGCGCTCACACAGCTCTCTGCAGCGTGGCGATCGTGGTGGGTGCCCCTCGGACCATGGGCCGCAGTCAGGAGGAGACCGGAGGTGTGTTTCTGTGTCCCTGGAGGACCGAGGGCGCTGAGTGCAGCTCGCTGTCCTTTGATCTCAGTGAGTCCTGGACAAGGGAGGGAAGAAGAGAGGATTCCCGAGGAAGCCTGAACCACTGAGCTTCAGCACCCTATTCTATCTTCCAGGGGATGAGACCCAAAGAGTGGACTACCAAACGTTCCAAACCTTCAAGGCCAGACAAGGATTGGGGGCTACAGTCGTCAGTTGGAGCGACAACATAGTGGTGTGGTCACGGGACAAGGGAGAGCAGGCGGGAGGCAGAGGTCCAGCCCCGTGTCATTCCCCTCTCTCCTATGCCCCTGCTCCAGGCCTGTGCCCCCTGGCAGCACTGGAATGTGGTAGAAAAGACCGATGAGGCCGAGAAGTCCCCAGTAGGTGGCTGTTTTTTGGCTCAGCTCCAAAGCAGCGGCCGTGTAGAATTCTCACCCTGCCGGGCCAACACCATGAGCCAAGTTTATGTCCTAATAGGCAACAGTAAGTTCCTCTCCTGCTGTCACGCCCACTTCCGTCTAGCCCCGCCCTTAACCTGGTCTCGTTCCGAACCCGCCCTGCCCCCTGCCTCGCCCCGCCACCGCCCTGCCCCGAGACCGCCCCGCCCTGCATCGCAGCGCGCAGGCGCTCGTTCGCACACCACGATCCCTGTGTTACCAGGTAGAGACAGGCGAGGCTGTGAAGCGGGTTTCAGCGCGGTGGTCAGCCAGGCAAGTAGGGAGCGTGAGAGGCAGGGGAACAGCCCTCAAGCAAGTCCTCGTCTCACCTCCGGGGCTTGCCTTTCAGGACGGAGAGCTGGTACTTGGAGCCCCCGGTGGCTACTACTTTTTAGGTATGCCCCCTTCCCTTCTATCAACTTCTCCCTTCTCGCGGGCGCCCTGCCCCAGAGAGACTCCCCTACACTCTGTTCCTCCGCTGTAGGCTTCCTGGTCCGGGCTCCAATTGCGAATATCATCTCGAGTTACCATCCAGGCACCCTCTTGTGGCACGTTCCCCATCAGCACTTCACCCACGACTTTACCCAAGAAGAGTTCTTGGACAGCTACCGGGGTAATCTTGGCAATGAGCTTCCAGGCTCCCCTAGCCTCTTCAGGGTCAGTGCCCACCTGCGCCGTCCACCCTGTTTGACTCCAAACCCGACGCCGCTGCCTCCTGCGCCAGCAGCGCCACCTGCAGGCTGCCCAGCCCCCTCACACCGGGCCTCCTGTCCCATCAGCCCAGGATAGGTTTTGGCCGGGAGTCCCCTACCTCGCTCCCCTTCCCTCCTTCCTCCTCTAGGAAATCCTAATTCGCACTGTATCCTCAGGGTACTCCCTGGCGTTGGGCGAGTTTGACGGGAATCCCAACACAACAGGCAAGAAATCCCGTCGGGGAGGCGGTGGAGCGGGGTGGATGGGATGTGAAGGGAAGGAAGCCCAAGTGGGAAGAAGCACTGCTCTGGACTCACCCTCCAGGATGCGACTTTGCGGGGTGGGGTGGGCGAAGGCGGCAGCCAGGCACCTCTTGTGATGCACCCGGCTTTCCCCAGAGTATGTCTTTGGCGCCCCCACCTGGAGTTGGACCCTGGGAGCGGTGAGTGCCCTCTAACTCTCATCCTAAAGGCCCCAGCTCGACAGTGCCCCCTAAAACACCTGCCCTCTTGTCACCCTGAGCTGATGCGGGCGTGGGCATGACACCTGCCCGTGGGCTCCTGCCTACCACAGGTGGAGATTTTGGACTCGAGATTCCATCCAAGACCGCTGCACCGGCTGCTTGGAGAGCAGGTAGGAGCTGCATCTCAGTGAAGATGGCAAAGTGTAGCAGATGGGACCTCTGATGTCACCTGATGTCTCAAAGCGATGTCTGAGGATGCTGTGTCTGGGGGTACAAGTTACAGTGTGCCTCGTTTTCCTGCAGGTGGCTTCCTATTTCGGGCATTCCGTGGCTGTCACTGACGTCAACGGGGATGGGTGAGGAGGGGGCATGTCACACCAGCTATTTGGGTCCTGGTCACCTGTCACCCTCCATGAGACCACCCAGGCTAAGTGGAAGGGTGAGGGTGGTTGAGTGTTTATCCTGACAGTTTTCACATAACACTCACAGGAGGCACGATCTGCTGATAGGAGCGCCCCTATACATGGACCACAAACTAGCCGAAGTGGGGCGTGTGTACTTGTTCCTGCAGCCCCGTCACCTTCACATGCTGGGCTCCCACAGCCTCCTGCTGACTGGCACCCAGCTCTACGGGCAATTTGGCTCCGCAATTGCTCCACTGGGCGACCTTGACCTGGATGGCTATAACGGTGAGGAACAGGGAGCACCACTCACTGCAGAGAGGTTAACAGTCACAGTCAGGAACTTGTATCTGAACTGAGAGTGTCAGGAGTCAGAAAGTGGAGTGATCCCATTGAAGAAGTGATGTAGAGACTGCTGCTGAGTGGCAAGCAGATTGGATAGTTAAGATCAATTAGGATTGTGCTTGCATTAATCCAGGCCAGGGATGGTGACAGATTTGGTGGTGGAGTTCAAAATGATGCTAATTCACAGGTTCTTAGGACTTGATTACTGAGGCCTGCTGAGTAGACTAAAGGAAGAAGATGGTGGGTGAAGGTGCCACTCACTGCCTCATGGAGCAGGTCTGGCCTACTACAGTGAGATCAAGCAACTCAGCTCTGGACCTGTGGGCTTTAGAAGGCTTGACTGGATACATTTTACAGAAATGCTCAGGGAACATCTGCGTGCAGCTTCCCCCATTTCCACAGCAGAAGACTGAGGCTTTAGAACTCACAACAGAGTCAGTCTGGGATGGGACAGAGGAGTGTCACATCGAGGTAGGAGAGATACTCCAAGAGCTGTTGGCCTAGACTCAAAAAGAAGAGGTACTGCAAGCAGGAGGGTAGAGGTTCCAGTGACTTCTGATGCTGCTGGAAAGAACTGGAGAAGTAGCCATGGACTTTTGCAAAAACATCATTGGTGACAGTGACAATAACTGTTTTAGGATGGGGTAGGGACAGAGGCCAGAATGCTATGGAGCAAGGTATGAGTGTGTGTGTGTGTGTGTGTGTGTGTGTGTGTGTGTGTGTGTGTGTGTATTTGCGCGCGCGTTCACGCTCATGTGTTTGTGAAGAATGGAGGTAAACCTTTCGATCAGTTTGTGAAAGACAAGGAAGGATAATGACTGAAATGAGAGGAGGGGCAAGAGAAGGTTGCAAGAACCTCAAGTAGAATGAAGTAGAATCTGGAGGAAAATGATCTTGTTGGGAGACAGAGGGAGGGGACAGTGCCTGCAAAGCCAAGGATAAGGAGTAGAACTCTTAGTCCCAATGACAGAAGTAAAAGAACGGCACGTACTTCAGGGTCTAGAGAAGAAGGGGGAAAGGAAGTGGATGTGGACTGTTAACACAAGAGTGACATGGTGACACCTGTGGCTTCTCCAAAGGCTGAGGAGATGTTAGACAGCCTTGTCTAACAAAGGAAGTGGGAGTTAGGATCTTGACAGAATGGAAAAGGCTCGAAATAGGTGCTGAGCAGACTGTGAGAGGGGAGACCAGGAACTTATGGTGCCCCGTCTGCTCTGTCTCTCACACAATTCTGAAACTAAAACTCCTTGCCACCAAGGCAGGATCGACTCATCCCTGACCCTCCAGCAGGTTTTTGGGAGGTTGTCAAGTGGGTGGGAGGTTGCCCATCTTTTACCTCAAGAGGTGCGTGTGGATTCAAACCACCAGGCAGGCTCTGCCTTTACCACACCACAACACCCTAGATATTGTTGTTGTTAATTTGCCATCAAGTTGTAACCAACTCAGAACTGACCCTCAGATGGGTTTTCTGAGGCCACTCAGAAAATTACATGGGAGGAAATTGCCCATTTTTCTCCCTCCAAGCAGCTAGTACATTCAAATTGTGAGCCTTCAGGGTTGGCAGTCCCACTCCTTACTACAGCTACCAGAGCTCAGACCACCAGAATTCCTTAAACAGCCCTAAGCAAGTGGATATTGCATTACCCCAGGCAGGGTCTAACCAGGCATGCCGAGGACTGGCATTGAGACACGAAGGCTAAGGATATGGCAAGGGTGGCTAAAGAGTCAGCATGAGGAAGCCAACAGACCGGAGGAGAGTGACAGCCAAGGGCTTGGGGGAGACATTGTGATCAGAAGTGGGCCATTTGGGTGAATTCTGCTATGTAGCTGGGTCAGAAAAGTATTTTTTTTTTAAATTTTATTTTGTTTTCTTGTTTGTGTGTGTGTACCGTCAAATCAGATCTGACTGGTACAGGAGGAAATTGTTCCTCCTTTTTCAGCAGAGCATCTGGTGGATTTGAACCGTGAACCACTGGGATTGCAGTGCAGCTTCTTGCCACTAGGCCACCAGAGCTCGCCAGAAAAGTATTTTTTAAACTGATATTTTATTGTAAAAGAACTTTTATTTATAAAGAACTTGGATTTCCGCTCATTCATTGTTGCATATTTTCCTCTGTGCCCCCCTCCCCCTGCCCCAGTTCACTGTTTTCTTTGGGAAAAAAAGTTCTTTCCTTTTTTATACAGTCTTCCCCCTGCCCAGACCACTTAACTATGCAGCTCTTATTCTGGACTCTTGTCATACCAATAATACCCAATTATATATTGCTTTACTACAGCTCTCTCCCTCATCTGTTTCAATGCCATATACATTATTTATCCCTTTTTTCCTTAGTTTTCCCCTAACTCACCTGTCAGTCTTGTTTTATAACAATGGCATCATGCCGTATTTGTCCCTTTGTGACTGAGATATTTCACTCAGCATAATGTCCTCCATAGTAACCCATTTTGTATAATATTTCATGAGTTCTTTGTTTTTCAGTGCTGCATAATATTTCATTTTGTGTGACTATACCACAGCTTCTCTATCCATTTGTTTGTTGATGGGCACTTGGGTTGTTTCCAACTCTTTGCTATTATGAACAAAGCAGCAATAAACCTGGGTGTACATATATCTGCTTGGGTGGCAGTTATGGTTTCTTTAGAGTATATCCCCAGTAGTGGAATTGCTGGGTCAAATGTTATTTCCATTTCCAACTTTTTGAGAAAATGCCATACTCCCTTCCATAGTGGTTGCACCATTTTACATTCCCACCAACAGTGAATAAGTTTCTCCACAGCCTCACCAGCATTTGTTGTTTGCTGCTCTGTTGAATTTTGCTATTTTCATTGAGGTGAGATGATATCTTATAGTTGTTTTGAGTAACTATTTAAAAAAAACCAAATCTGCACTATAAGCAAAGTCACAAGACAAAGGAATGTCAGTTGCAACACATATAACAAAGATTTTAATTCCTGTAATGTAAAAATAACTCTTATGCATTAATAAGATTGTAATGATTAAGTAATACCCTCTCAAATGAAGATTTAAAGGAGATCTTAAAAGTTATTCATGATGAAAAACCTGAGATGTGGCTCTGGACTTCCTTGGCAGAGGTGAAATGGGGTGAAGGTCCCTAGGGAAAGAAGTGCCTGTATTTAACAGATGTCTGTTATTTAATGGGAGTCCATGGATGGTGTTTGGCTATTGATGGAAAGGTTGGTGGTTTGAATCTGCCCAAAGACTTAGAAAGGTGGAGAGTCAGCGAAAGAGAAGCAGACTCTCAATGAGATGAATTGATGCAGTGACTGCAGCAATGGGCTCCAGGATGTCAGAGATGATGAGGATGCCACAGGGTAGGACGAGGTTCAGATCTGTTGTTAATAGGATCTCTATGAGTTGTACTTGACCCAATGACAATGCCTCACTTTCACATTAAATCACATGCTGTCAATATATTTAACTCACAATGTGGTGAGAGCTGTGATAGATTTTCTTACCTTCTACTCTGGCAGGCCTAATGTTCCTCCTCCATTGGAAAGCCCTGCTCGTCAGGCAGGCTGCCTGCTTGACACAAACTCTCACAGCTCTCCTTTCCTGATGTTCCTTCCAGATGTTGCAGTGGCTGCGCCCTACGGGGGTCCCAGCGGTCGGGGCCAGGTGCTGGTGTATCAGGGCCAGAGTGAGGGACTGAGCTCTCGCCCATCCCAGGTCCTGGACAGCCCCTTTCCTGAAGGCTCCGGCTTCGGTTTCGCCCTGAGAGGTGCCACGGACATTGATGACAATGGATACCCAGGTGCACCTGAACTACCTCCAGTTGTGCTCGAAGGGCTCATGGTCACTAGCTGGAAATGCTAAGAGACATTTAGAACTGGTACCCGCTGAGGGCTCTGACCCATTTGTTATGGGATGTCAGGCCAAACTCCCAAAGGAGAAGGTGGTGTGGGGGCATCTCTGGGAAGAAGAGGGAAGGACACTATACCCCTTCAGATTGCCAATCCTGATTCCTGTCCCTAACACCTGTAGACCTGCTGGTGGGAGCTTACGGGGCCAGCAAAGTGGCAGTATACAGGTGAGAACTGATCCCTGTGATGGGAAGGGGCGGCCCAGGATGTAGCAGCCAACACCACTGGGAAGGCCAGACCAGGAGGGACCATGGTGTCACTTGCATCCCACCAGAGCTCTGCCTGTAGTAAAGGCCAACGTCCAGCTGTTGATGCAAGATTTCCTGAACCCTGCTGTGAAGAACTGTACTCTTCCGCGGACCAGCACTGCAGTGAGCTGGTGAGGGGGCAGAGGGGCAGGAGCAGGGGCAGGCAGAACCCAGGTTTCGGCGGAGCCCCTGCCCCTGAGCGTTGCTGTCATCATTGCAGCTTTGACATCAAGCTGTGTGTGGGAGCCACCGGGCACAACATTCCCCAGAAGCTGCGTGAGTGGCAGGGCAGGGTGAGCAGGGTTCCCCTGGAGACTGGCTGGGGGGGCTCTGACCTTCTGCTCACTGGCTCTGCCAGGTGTGAACGCAGAGCTGCAGCTGGACCGGCAGAAGCCCCGCCAGGGCCGGCGCATGCTGTTCCTGGGCTCTGAGCAGGCGAGCACAACCCTGACCCTGGACCTGGGCGGGCAGCGCAGCCCCATCTGCCACACCACCAAAGCCTTCCTGCGGGTATGCCCAGGCCTGGAGGGTGGGCACTGTGCCCCGTGGGGTGTAGTCCCCACTGGCCACAGGAGGCCTGACTCTCGTCCCAATTCCCCAGGATGAGGCTGATTTCCGGGACAAGCTGAGCCCCATCGTGCTCAGTTTCGACTTGTCCCTGCAGCCTGAGGAGGCTGGATTGTCCCCTACTGTCGTGCTGCATGGAGACACCCATGTCCAGAAACAGGTTAGAGTAGACCGAGACAGGCCTGTGGGATGTGGGACCTCTACTAGAAAGCTTGCATGAGAGCTAACATGAGCCCCAAAACCTTGATGACACCTAGATTCTCTGATGACAACTTAACTCTAACGAAAGTCCCCAGATCTCAATATTCTTTATACCCCGATGTGAACTCCGAGTGTGGATGTGAACCCGTAAGCCTGGTGTCACCATCCATGCTTTGCCATCATTCCAAACCCTAATGTAATTCCCAGAGTCCAGCATTCTCTCCAGAATTCCTTTGCAACCTCAAGGGTTTTTATTTCCTAAACTCTGATGTGAATCTCAGCTCAGTATTGTTTTCCTAACGCTGCTGTGACTGTGAGCCTGGCCCGCAGCTCACCCACACACCTGGATGTGCCCCCTAGACCCGTATCATTCTGGACTGTGGGGAGGACGACCTGTGTGTGCCCCAGCTTGAGCTCGCTGCCAGCATGTGAGCAGACCCCCCACTACCCTGCCCTGGCCCTCTTTACACCAAAGATGCCCCCTTCCTCCCTGCTTCCTGCCGTCCTTAACTCTTCCCTCACCCCTCAGCCTGGACCATGCATCCAGGCTTCATGCTTGTCCCCCACAGGAGGGGCTCCCCACTCCTGATTGGGCCTGACAATGTGCTGGAGCTTCAGATGAACGCTACCAACAAAGGCGAGGGGGCATATGAGGCCGAGCTGGTCGTGCACCTGCCCCCGGGTGCCCACTACATGCGAGCCCTCAGCAACATTGAGGTGAGGTCCTGAACCCCTGGTGCCTTTGGAAGGCACTACCAAAGATGTGGGGAGTGAAAGAGCCTTAACTCTTATGCTTTGCTGTAAAAGCTAATTTCTACTGTATCATGTATTACTTTTTTTTTCATGTATTACATTTATATATATATTGAGTCCTGGGGGCTTAGTGCATCACATGTTGGGCTGCCAACCAGAAGGTCAGGGGGGTAAATCCCATTAATGGCTCCAAGGGAGAAAGATGAGGCCCCCTACTCTTGTACAAATGTTCAGCCTTGAAAACTCAGTGGAAGCTCTCTGTGAGTCAGAATCGACTTGGTGGTGGTGAGATGTGTGTGTCTTTGTTGTGCGTGGATGCCATCAGCTCAGCTCAGTCACCCTGTGTACCTCAGAAAGCAAGCCTGCCCATCCGCACAGTCTGCATCCTTACGCCCCCAGCTGCAGTCATGGTGACAATCCGTCTCAATGAGAGGTTCTTCCTCTTTTGCGCCGACCCCTGTCTTCTTCCAGGGACCAGCCTCTCCTGACAACATGACCAAAGTATGTGGGACCAGGTCTCACCAGCCTTGCTTCTGAGGAATATACATGTACATATATTTTTCCCACTTTGAGTCATTACAACCCTGGGTATGCCAGAGGAAAACTGGGCTCTCCGGTGCTTTCCGTTTTAACTTTTTATTGTGAATCATACAAAGGCTTACCGAACAGACCAGTTTATACGTGTTTGTAGTGTTTGTACGTGTGTGTGTGTGTGTGTGTGTGTGTGTGTGTGTTGCTATTGTTGTTTGCCATTGAGTCAGACTGACTCTAGCTGTCCCTCCGGCTGGTTTTCAGAGGCAGTAAATCGCATGGGAGGGGATTGCCTATCCTTCTTCCACGGAGGAGCTGGTGGATTCGAACTGCATGCCTTTGGGTGTATGTATTTAAATTGGAAGAGGAACATTTGCTAATAGCATACAGTTCAGAAACTATGATAGGAAACCAGAATAACTCAGAAACCAAATGCCAGCTCTGTTAACATTTGCTAACTTTCTCCTTATGCTTGTATGTATTTATATTTCATTTTGTTCATTCTGTTTAAAACAATGGGGTCATACTCCATGTCATGTGGTGTGGGTTTCATTTCCAAAACAAAAAATAATAAATTGCTACTGCTGTGACCGAAGGAGAATAAGACAGTCCTTGAGCTCTAACCCCAGGAGACCCCTCTCTTGCTCCCCAAGGATTTGAACCTTTGCAGACTTTCCAAGGGAGCATAAATACTTGTAAGATGTCCATAACCATCTCCTTTCTTGGAAATTGCCTCTTCGAAGGGGTTTGAAAGGCTCATCTGTAACCAGAAGAAAGAGAACAAGACCAAGGTGGTGCTGTGTGAGCTGGGCAACCCCATGAAGATGGACGCCCAGGTGAGGGTGGGGTTTGGGGCTGGATCTTTCCAGGGGCTTGTTGACAGATAGTCAAGTTTTAGGGATCAGGTTTTGGAGTCAGATCACTTTGAGTGATTGTCACACTCCCTGGTCGTTTGTTCTTGAGTGACTCCCACTCTGGGTGGGTTTCTGTGTAAGACAGATAATAATGGGGGCCTTGGAAGGGAGTGGGCATTGAGGCGATGACTTGGGCCCTCCTGTTTCCCAGATTGAAATCACGATGCTGGTGAGTGTGGGGAACCTAGAAGAGGCTGGGGAGTTTGTGTCCTTCCAGCTGCAGATCAGGAGGTACTGGACCGGGGTGCACCTCTCCCTACTATCCTTCCCCAAACTGACCCCGATGTGGAAACCCTCAGATGCTATCAGGACACAAGAGTCTTTTTGAAATGCCTGTTTTTCAGGTCCCCTTATTCCCTTTCTTCCTCGGAGACTTGTTTCTGAGTGTTGGCACCCTAGAGGAAGTTTTTTCTCTGGTCTAACTACAGTGTAGCATGCTGTTTGTAGAATTAACTAGCCCTGAACCCCTTGAAATTCTGCCCCAGGTTAGTGTCCCTCATCTTCCTCTCCTCACCCCCTCCCCTCCAGCAAGAATAGCCAGAATCCAAACAGCGAGATGGTGTTGCTGTCTGTGCCAATCATGGCAGAGGCCCACGTGGAACTGCGAGGGTGAGAGCCTCGGGGGGGCATGTGATGGCAAGCAGGGCCTGAGGTTCAGGGGGCCCTGGGAGAGCCATCGGGTGAGGCTCACACTGGGGGTTCGGGAACTCTCAGGAACTCCATTCCAGCCACCCTGGTGGTGGTGGCTGAAGAAGATGACGAGGAGGAGAAAAACTCAGACACCTTGGGCCCCAAAGTGCAGCATACCTATGAGGTGAGGAGACCCCTCTGGGCTCCAGACCAAGGTTGGGTGGGTCCTAGGAGCCCACCTGACATCCTGCCACCAACCCTGTCCCCAGCTCTACAACAGAGGCCCGGGGGCTGTCAGGGGCCTGCGTCTCAGCCTGTACATCCCCAGCCAGTCCCAGCCCTCTGACTTGCTCTACATCTTGGATGTGCAACCCCAGGGAGGACTCCAGTGCTCCCCACAGCCCTCCCCTAACCCCCTCAAGGTGAGAGCCATGGTGGAAGAAAGCTGTGGGGAGTCTCCTGACTGGCAACCAGATCACCTTGGGGAGTGGGAACTGGGCACACAAGGGCCTGACCACTCCTTTGCCTCCCCAGCTGGACTGGAGGCTGCCCACCCCCAGCCCATCCCCAGCTCGTCACAAGCGGGAGCGCAGACAGGCACCTGCACCAGGCAGGCAGCAGCCCTTGGAGCAGGAGGACCCAGTTCTAGTGGTGAGCAGGCTCTGATGTGTCCAGATGGGGCTTCCTTGGGGCCCAGGGGCAGAAGGAAGGGGGCAGGAGAGGGCCTCACAGGCAGCCTTGGGGCTGCTCCAAGTGCACAGCCTGAATGGTTCTGCATTTGTTAAAGTTTCCAGTGCATTTGAAGGGAGAAATGAATGAATTTATGTCCAAGCAGTGTTACAAGCCAAACCCTGACCAGCAAGCTGGGTTTCAATTCACAGGAACCTTACAAGACACAGTAGAACTGTCCAGTAGGGTTCCCAGGGCAGTGATGTCTATAGAAGCATACTGCCACTCCCGTGGAGAAGCTGGTGGGTTTGAACCTCAGACCTTTCAGTTAGTAGCCAAGCGGTTCCCCACTTCAGGACCCCTTAGGGCTTCAAAATTTCTAGATATTTAATGCTATGTGACCCACTTCTCTCCACCGTCTCCCAGCAAGGAAGGGGCTGTCAGTCACCTCATTCAGAGACAGTGTTTGAAGCTTGAATTAGGGGCCCTGAGGGGGCAGCCTGAGCTCCCTGGTCCCCTGGCCCTCTAGTTGGATTAGAAGTGTTGAAGACTGATAACGCGTCCCCCCAGGACTGCGAGTCAGCACCCTGTACTGTCGTGGAGTGTGAGCTGGAGGAGATGGAGCGCGGCCAGCGGGCCATGGTCACCATGCTGGCTGTCTCCCGGCTGCCCAGCCTCCGCCAGGTAGGGCAGGGCTCTGGGGAGGGCAGCGATGGGCGGGGCTTTGCAGCAATGGGTGGGGCTTGTCTGTGATGGGCGTGGCTTCCTGAGGTAGGGGCCTGGTTTGCTTTGCGTAAAGAGGGCCTTGGTAGGAGGGCCTGATTTTCTTTGAGTGGAGGTGAGATTAGCCCAGGAGGAGCTGGACTCCTCAGGCAGGAGGAAAGCATCAGAAATCTTGCATCCAGGAAGTCTGGGTGGACATAAATGAGCACTGGTGGCCTAGTGGCAAGAAGCTGCGCTGCCATGCCAAAGGCACGCATTTCGAAAGCTGCTCTGTGGAGAAGGATGGGTAATCTCTGCCTGTGCAATTAACTGCCTCTGAAAACCCTTGGATGGCCAGCTATGGGTCAGTTCCGACCCCACGTACACAACAACCAACCACCCTCCATCCTACCCAGAACCTATCTAATCAGTTTGTCCTGGAGTCCCATGCATGGTTCAACGTCTCCTCCCTTCCGTATGCGGTGCCTGTGCTCAGCCTCCCCAGCGGGGAAGCACATGTGAGTATCCGGAGCCCTGCAGGAAGGGCTTTGCACGGGGCAGTGCCCAGCCAGAGTGTGGGCAGGGCCTGGTCCGAGGGGATGAGTGGTACAGGTAGATGGCTTGTTTGAGAGTCAGCCCTCCATGGGTTCAAGTCTTGGCTTAGGAAGTGGTCACAAGAGCTGAGGAGGCCCTTGGGTTTGTTCCCAGGTGAACACTTACCTGGTTCGGGTGTTGGAAGATGAGGCCATTCCTATCTGGTGGATCCTGGTAGCCGTGCTTGGCGGTCTGCTGCTGCTCACACTCGTGGTCCTGGCCATGTGGAAGGTGAGGGAGTAGAGACCCTCGGGGGATGCCTTCTTGGGCTGCCCTCCTTCACAAGACAGTAAGGAGAGATGGTGGTCCGAGTGGGTGACCCAAGGCCCACCACACCACACATATCTTTACCATTAAAATGTCACTCTCCTAGGCATGCACTTCTGAGAGGGGTGGCACCTCAAACACTAAAACCTTTAGATCCTTCCTCCTTGAAAGAGAGAGGTGGAGCCCTGGTTAGGCTAACTTGCTGCTGTCCAGGCAATCTCCCTGGGAGAAAGATGTGCTGCCTTCTTGGAAAGGCTACAGCCTTAGAAGCACCATGGGACAGTCAGGTCCACTCTGTCCTGCAGGGTTGCTGGGAGTCTGGGTTTCTCCCTGAGAGGAAGAGCCCCAGGGCAGGAGTCCTGCCTTCAGGAACCCCAGCACTGCTAAGAAGAATAGGGTTCACATCCTCCCAGCTCTGACCTTCCCCCTGACTGGGCAGCAGACCTAAGTGTGATTTAGATCCTGCCTCTCCCTTCTGTGGGTCTGGGCTCACTGCTCCCTTCCATCTGGAACTCCCTCTAACACTGTTACGCACACTCAGGAGGTCTGTGCCCTGGGAGACCACAGTGCTTTTAGGGAAAACCACACAGTAAATTTTTTATAATCAGATACATATCACCATGTGCTAGAATCATGTACTTCACAATTCTATGGGAGAACAATTCTGTATGGAATTAAAATTCAAGGAGAAAAAGAACACATACCCTCTATACACACATGCAATTGCACACTCTTTCTAAAAGAGGAAACTGCCCTTTTGTGACTCTGTGGGGTCACGGTGTGTGCCAACCGAGTGGAGGGGGCACATCTTAAGGTCTGCTAGCACATCTTCCCCAGTGATGCTCTCGGGCCCAAGGATCAGCTCCACACCCTGACCCCCATCCCTGTTCCAAACCAGGTCGGCTTCTTCAAGCGGAACCGCCCTCCCCTAGAAGGGGAAGATGATGAGGAGGAAGAGTGACAATGCTCCCCACTCTGTCCCAGCAGGAAGGTTGGGGGTAGTGCACACTCTGCCCTTTTCTATCCACTGAGTGACCCCCAGCTCTGATCACCCACAAGCTGGAGCTGTTCCGTGGAGCCTCTGGGTGTCCTCCTACCTTACAGAGCTGTGCCACCTCCTCCCTGCTGTCTAATAAAGGAACTGAACCTTCCACCAGTGTGCTGCCTCCTTCTGGGGTCAGGGCGGGGACCAGGCCCTGAAACAGCCAGGGTGGGAGTTAGGGTTGATGGGAGTGTGAGAGGGAAGGTCTGAACCAGGGTTTTAAGTGCTGCCTCTGGGGAGTTAGGAAGTAGAGTGGAGAGGCCAGAAGTGTGAGAGGAATAAGGGACAAAGGGTGACAAAGTTCCCAGGTGAGGCTGGAGGCCTTGGGAGAACTGGAGAGTTTGAAGGAAGGGGAGATGGCATTAGGAGCTCTCGTGGCACAATATTTAAGTTCTCAATTGCAAGCTGAAAGGCTAATGGTTCAAACCCATCAGACACTCCATGGGATAAAAGACTGGTCCTATCATGATGGCAGCTTTTCAAATCCTAAGAGGCAGCTATGCTCTCTCCTGTAGTTGGAACTGACTCAAATGACAACCTAACAGCAATAACAAGGCTGGGTTTGGAGTGAGATTTGGGGAGGCTGGCTAAGCCCTTAGCCAAAGGAAGGCAGTGCCATACCAGGAGACGGAGAACAAAGATTGCTCTCAAGCCACCTGGTGGGGTCGCATCTTCCCACCAAGAACAAGAGACTTCAGTTAGGAGGAAGGGCACCAGGCATGGAGGCCTCAGAAGATCCAAGAGTAGAAAACAGCTCTCCAAGTGCTGTGCTTGGGATTAAGGGTAGAGGTGGAGGAGTCTGCCTGGGCTCCTGTGAAAGTTTTTGATCCATTTGTCAAAAAGATATTTACCCAGCACCTACCATATACTTGCCACTAGTCCAAGTGTGGACGTGGGGCAGTAAACAAAGCCCTTGTCCTCACGGAATTTACCTAAATGAGGGGTAGAGGATAAACCAATAAAGGAATGCCCCATTTGACCCAACAATTCCACTACTGGGAATATACTCTAAAGAAACCAGAACTGCCACCCAAGCAGATATATGCACACCCATGTTTATTGCTGCTTTGTTCAAAATAGCAGAGTTGGGAACAACCCAAGTGCCCATCAACAAACAAATGGATAGAGAAGCTGTGGTATATTCACACAGTGGAATATTATGCAGCACTGAAAAATAACTCATGAAATATTATACAAAATGGGTGACTATGGAGGACATTATGCTGAGTGAAATATCTCAATCACAAAAAGACAAATACAGCATAATGCCAGTGTTGTAAAATAGGACTGACATAGGGGTTGGGGAAAAACTAAGAAAAGCGGGTATAAATAATGTATATGGCATTGAAACAGATGAAGGAGAGAACTGTATAAAAGGAAAATACGATTAGGTATTATTGGCATGACAAGAGTCCAGAATAAGAGCTGCACAGTAAAATGATCTGGGGCGGCAGGGGCAGGGGGTGAAAACTGTATAAAATTAAAGAACTTTTTCCCAAAGAAAAAAGCGATCTGGGGCAGGGGGGAAAATGTACAATAGTGAAGGATTGGAAACCCAAGTTCTTAGTAAACTTTCATTAAAATCTCAATTTAAAAAAGGTATGTCAGGTCAGTCGTTGTAAAAGCTATGAGTAAGGGGAGAGAGAGAAGGCATGTGGGATGCTGGGGAGGGTGGTCAGGGGAAGTCTTTCTGATGAGGCAAGCAGAGACATGACCAAGTCATGCTAGGGATAAAGTGTTCCTGACAAAAGAGCCGTGCAAAGGCCCTGAGGTGAGAGCGGCCTTGGTATGAAGAGGGTTATGTGACTAGAGATGGGTAGGTGAAGGATCTAGAAGATGAGGTCAGAGAGCTGGCCCAACACCAAGCATGCAACAACACCCAATGGCCATAAGGAGAGGACTTAGGGCTTTGATGCTACTACACATTGTGCTGGAGGATGTCATTGATGAACGGATGACCTCACAAGAGCTGCTGGCATTAGATTTCACTCAAAGATAAAAGGTAAACTCTGAAAATAATAATAGAATAATTTTACATTGACGCATAGCAAGTTGTAGTTTGGTAATGGAACATTTAAGACTATTTACAAGACGCTGAATTTTAAATAAATAAACTAAAAACTGTGATCCTTGAACATCAGCCAAATCACTGCCCCTCCTCATCACTGTAATCACATGGCCCCTGATGACTTGTCTTGATTTTGCAAGGCATTTGTCATTTGTCGTTAAGAGAATGTGAGCTGGAGGGCAAAGACTCAGACGTAGACCTGAATCATTCTGATAAAGCTGAAGATGGCTATGAAGGTGTTTCAAAGCCGCCTGCCCTGGCCTCCTGGCATCGTTGTGACCCTCTGAATGGAGGCAGAGGAAGTAACTGCCCTGCAGATGGCTGGGAGGAAGCTCCAACACAATGGGTGACTGAAACAGATTCAAGGCAGCCTTGACAGATTGTAAAATTGGGTGGAAACCAAAAAGATGAATTTCACCAGGGAGAAGTATAAAGTCCTGTGTGGAGCTTCCAAAAAAATTGGTTATGTAAGAACAGAACTGAGAAATACAGTTAAATGGAAATTTCTGTTAAAAAGAAAAGAGATAATTTGACAATTTTGTCCAAAAGCTCGGCATGAAGTTCTCTTATGTCAGAAGACCCAGCCAGGGGATCCCGAAAGGCAGGAAGCCTGCTGTCCTCTGTAAGATCAAGCCTTTGTTCCAAGAATCCAGTCCCCTCATAGGCTTCAAAAGAAAGAGAAGGTGACCAGACAGGAAAGATTCGATGGCCATGCCAGAGGGGAGTGTTGATGACAACAAGAACTTAAAGAAGAGAACTGAACTGGGATGAGGCAAGCCTATCTTCAAATGTGGGGTTCAATGACTGACAAAACTGTGACTTGATGAAGCCAGAAGTAGTAGTGTCAATCGTCGATTCTCAGTGGGAGAGAAGGAAGCTTGGGTCGACTGGTGGAAGAACTTCCTAGACATGAGGACCGGCCAGTAATGGATGAGGTTACCTGAGTACACTCGTCGACCCCACCTCACCCTGGACCCGCAACATCTTCTGTGCGCTTCCTCAGGCCAGGCCTGTGTTCTTTGTATCATATTTCACTTAATGTTTTAAACAGCCCCATGAGGTGGGGATTATGAAGATCCTCACGCTTGAGAGAAAGAAGGCTTTGAGGACCTGATTGCCCACAGTTTAAACAAGAGGCAGGAAGGAGTTCGACAACAATCCAGGTCTGATTGCCAACCGCATGCAACCTCAACACTGCTCCGCAGCCCCCAACACAGTTGAGGACAGTGTGGAGAGTAGGAGGAGGTGGATCGAGTCCTTACACATTTTGAGGTACTTAGGAACCTCCTATCTCTGAGAGTGTGTTTTAAACGTTAGTCCTTCTTTCCCCTATCTCCACCCCAATTTTAGAGGCTCTTGGACCCTCAGAACCTCTATGATTCTAGCCTTCACACCACGTTCTCAGGTAGCGGGTGTTTGAGAGCTGAGCCGAGGTGGGGCGGGCAGTGCGGGGAGTAGAGGGCGGTGGGGTGGGCTGGAGGTTGGGGTGTTAGGGGCGGGAATGCCGG